CTATAAGCATGGGGAGGAGGTGGATGAAAGGAAATGTAAAATATAGGTAGCGTGGTATAGGTCTTATCACTGGCTGATAATGGTCTATATGTACTTGAATTAAATTTATGGTACACAAATTTATGGTACATAGAGTACACAAAGCTTTAAGTCTCTCCATTTGTTAATGACAGTAGTAATGGTTCTTAATGCCACTGTTGACTGCTATTCACTTTACATGGTTCAAATGTTATTCTGTTATAGTTTATTAAATATTTTATTACACTATTTGGTTCAGAATATATTTTCCCTGTTTTCCTCCTCTAAAAACTATGTGCGTCTTAAGGTCCGGTGCGTCTTATGGAGCAAAAAATACGGTAGTTTTATCAGTGCTGTGTTTTAACCTTTACAGAAATCATAACTCTACAGCCTACTACTCTGATCCTTGTTGCAAATAGCAAATAGCTTAGTGTTTAGTTAAACGAGGCACCACTGTACATTATTTGAACAAAGCTCTTTTAGAGTAAGAATATGAATTTAAAATGGAATTTATGCAAGGAAAAATCCACAAAGCATGTCTTCTGCGGAACTTACAGGTGGATGGACAAATACGAAGAATGAAGGAATCACAAATTATGTGCTATCAACATCTCAACCAGGGCTTTTGTTTGTTTTTGTGTTTTTTACAGAAGCACTCAAACAGGAGAGAACAGAAACTGCAAAGTGTTACCACTTTAAAATATATATTAAACTCTATAGAAAACTGGAAGTAGTAAAGTATGTGCTTTGCTAATTGGCAATATAAATACTGACAGTAATATGAAAACAGCATGGAAAATCGTAAGGGATTAAGTATTCACATATTACTGCAATAGAATGTGCACGTCATGGAACAAACTTGCTTCTTAACAATATCATAAAACTGGATACCCTTCAAAAGATCTACAGACAAGCAAAAGAAGCTAAAAAAAACATGTAACAGCTACAGTACTCACATTGTAGCTGCAATCTTCAAGACGCAAGAAGAAATAGCACAAAATAAAATACTGACACGAAAGCTCTGTAGCAAACAATTGGATGGAATGATAATGTCTTTTGACAGTTTACTAAAATACAAAAGAAGCTATTCAAGAAACAGTAATAATTCAGGATCTTCAAGTTCCCATTAATGTAAGGAACACTGTACAGTACTCGCTGAACATGTCTGTGGGTTCAGCTGCAGAATTCCCTGAAGATTCAGAAGCCGGTTTCTTCAGATATTACTATCCTTGAATCCCCTTTCACAGATTGCTGCCTTGTCATGGTGAAGAGGTTTGAGTAATTCAGAGAAGCTATGGGCTATGCTGTACAGGGACACCCAAGATGGACAGGTCATAATGGA